CCTTGTTTCAGATACAAGGGGACTTTCTAGGTCAAGCATCCTGACATTTTCTACAAATACGCCGAAGTAAAAGATCACCATCATGCTCGGACACATGACTGCATTCCCCTAACTCACCCCATTACAGAATGACACCTGAGGTGAATCCTCAACCTCATATGGCTCCCACTGAGGTTTAAACGGGAGAGTTTTACCAGCCACTTGCAGGGAGATAAGATCATGTCATGAGATCAGTTGTGAAGTCACAGCTGTCATGTGGGAACTTGTTAAGTTATAGCACTGTTGTCAACGAATGACTTCAAAGATTAACTCATGACTTCAAAGATTAACTCACGTTGAAGACAATATTTTAGGAGTTTAGGACCCTAACACTAGCACACTGTTCTTCGGGCTTCCACTTTAAGCCACTTTAAAGACACACTATGAACCTATAAAGTTGCTTGTTCTGACCACCTACAGCTGTTCTTGTGCTCTTAAAATGTTTGAAGTTTCTAAATTGATTCTGAAAATGGGACCTAGACTTTGAATTTAGCTGCTTTTAATTTAGGTGTCATTTAGGTGCTTTTGACAAAGCCCTTTTCAGATTCTTCAAGGACACACTTAACAATATGCACCTACATAAACACTGCTGAAGAGGATGTGTTTAGCCCTTTTCAGATCCTTCAAGGACATGCTTAACACTATGCACCTACATAAACACTGCTGAAGAGGAATGGATGTGAGTGTATATTCCTGGTTATATGCACTTTCAAACATATTTCTCATCTCTTTAGTTTCTTGGAAATTTGATCCTATATGCACAGCTGTCCCGAAGGAATACCCGGAGCAGGATGCTGAGGACAATGTAACTGCAAGTCAAAGACAGCAGCAAAAGCCACCTGGAATCTTAAACCACCCTGGAGAAAGTGAGGTACCAACACTGGTCTTAATACAGTCATTTCCTTATCCACCATCTAGTATTTAATTTGTTTAGCTTTCTCTGTTCCATTTTTGTACCAGAATGTCCTGTTCTATTGCTATTTTTAAACAATTTCATTCTGAATGTGAATTGGCGTCTCTGATATCAAACACCTACAGAAACACCTTTGTGTCTTAAATTTGAGTTTTATTTTTATTTCTAATCAGGTGCCTAATTGTAGTGCTTATAGGATTGCAGGGCGCTTGGATTTTAATTGTATGAAGTTCAGGCACAACTGACTGTAAAAGCATCAAAGAAAAATAATAGTTTGCAAGTGCAAATGAAAAGATGCTGAGATGCACACAATGGATTTAGTCAGACACCCCCACTGTTTTACAGAGGGGAAAGTGTGTGTGCACAATAAATAAATTACACTGTGCCATCAGTATGTTGCATCTAACTGCATTAGTGGCTCCATTTTTCCCCTCATGACTGAGGTAGGATGACATATTGGAAAACACATATTTCTTCATTATACTATTTAAATGCTTTGATAAATCTGCTTACAGATGACAGAAACATTTTTTTTATTGCTTCTACCAAGTTATTTATATTTAAAACAAATCTTTCATGTGTTTACATGCAAGATGTCAAAATACTGAAAAAAGGTTATTGTCATAATAAGGCCCATCTGGGGCTGGGGTAGAACATGACCAAAATCTTGTTCTTTGAGCTGCTCTACCTTCAGGCTGCCTGGCTGCGTGTGTTTTTGTAGTGCCAGCCTTCTAAATCTGCTCTGTTCAGGAAAGAGCTGTGTAAACCGTTCCCTTCACGATGAGGACATTTTGATCTACGTTTCAACTATTCCCCGCAAAATTATTTTCTTGAAATACTGTTAATATTTGGTGAATTTCATTTTAATGTGGCAAAGTATCCCTAAGAAATTCTTAAATTATTAAATCAATTTTTATGGAGACTGAACCTTCCTTTGGAAAGGAAGTGTACAGAAATTGGTTCTGATGAAATGAATTAATATATTTGGCTTCCAGATATTTTTTTATGCTCTTCCTCCACATTTTTCTCTGTGCTTTTCTGTGCTTTTTTATTTTATAAAGGGTAAGAAGAAGAATGGCTTAAATACGGTAAGAAACGGGGAAAACAAAAAGATGGAACAATACTGAAAGTTTTCAGACAAAGTTCCATGTATTTTCTTATATTTTTAAAAATTAATAATCTGTAGAATTAATGTTTTCTCTAGTTCCAACGTTGTTAATATTTTAATTTTGACCAGCTCGCTTCTTTTCTCTGTCGAGTGCATCTACGTGCAGGAATACGTAAGAAAAATCTAATATGTGTGTGTGTGTGTTTCCATTTGCAAAAGAAAAATGAAGCAAATTAAGGAATGCGTTGCTGGAGGACATAGACAGGATATATTATGATTTTGTCAGACACTGAGTGCCTGCAGCTCGCCTTGCACTGAGTGACTTTAAGGCGCTTGTCACATGGCTACTCTTTTTATTAGCTTGGCTGCAGTGGAAAAGGCAGAGCGATGGCATCAGAAGTGGAAAATGGTGGCAGGAAAAGTTTGGTTGTTGGTTCCTTAGGGGTGACGGAAACAGCTATTCTCAAAGGATCTTTGCTGAGGAATACGTAAGCAATCCAGAGGAAGATAGCAAGAGCAAAGGACAATGAAGATTTAAGAATAATAGAAAACAGAAAGAAAAGAAAAAAAAAAGAGCACAAACTATTTCTGGAGCAATAGCTGCTCTAAGGAAAAGTTATCAACCCAGATGAATCACATCTATGTAAGGGGGCGAATTTAAAGGCATTTTATCAGACAAGGAGAAATAAGCATTTCTAGAGAGTAATTCAGTCCTTCGGTAGACTGCCTGTCTTTCTCTCGTGTCAGGCATCTCAAAGCACATCGTGAAATACAGATGGGGTAAAGTGGGGCCACGATGACTGGGCACTATCAGACTGGTCCTTCCAACAGTTTTGCCTCAAGCTGTGCCACTGTCAGTCTGGTCCCCAGCTCAGGAAGGACTGGTGCTTCTGTCTGCCCTTCCAGCCATCCATACTGCAGATATTTTGAGATCAGGCAGCTGTGAAGACAGAGGTAAAACCTGATCCCTACTTGGCGCAAAGAAGCCCTGCAGCCCTGAGGAAAGGGACTTGGGGGTGCTGGTGGAGGAGAAGCTGGACATGAGCAGGCAGTGGGCAGCTGCAGCCCAGAAGGCCAATCCCATCCTGGGCTGCATCAAAAGAAGCGTTGCCAGCAGGTCCAGAGAGGGGATTCTGCCACTTTACTCTGCTCTGGTGAGACCTCACCTGGAGTATTGTGTGCAGGTCTGGAGCCCTCAATATAAGAAGGACATGGACCTGATGGAGAGGGTCCAGAGGAGGGCCACAAGGATGATCAGGGGGATGGAGCACCTCTGCTACGAGGACAGGCTGAGGGAGCTGGGGTTGTTCAGCCTGGAGAAGAGGAGGCTCCGGGGAGACCTAATAGCAGCCTTCCAGTACCTGAAGGGAGCCTACAGGAAGGCTGGGGAGAGCCTGTTTAGAAAGGCCTGCAGTGACAGGACGAGGGGCAATGGCTTCAAGCTGGAGGGGAACAGATTTAGACTGGAGATGAGGAGAGGGTTCTTCACTGTGAGGGTGGTGGAGCACTGGAACAGGCTGCCCAGGGAGGTGGTTGAGGCCCCATCCCTGGAGATATTCAAGGAGAGGCTCGACGAGGCCCTGGGCAACCTGGTCTAGTTGGGGGTGTCCCTGCTGACTGCCCCCCTAAAAAAAAAAAAAAAAAAAAAAGGATCTGGTGAAGAACTGCAAGACCCTATAGAGGCCCATTAAAACAAAATCTTCCTTTGGTCCCCAGAAGAATGATGATTTTGCCACCTAACTACTGCTCGCTGCACAGACGGGCGCCCGGAACATGCTCATTGCTGAGGGCTCCTTCCCGCCGTGGAGGTCATCTCTTTCATCTGATGATGGCCTGCAGAAAACGCAGGGTATCGTTTAGATGTTTTTATGAGTAGCTTTATTTGCCTTTGAACACATCTGGTGTGTTCCCCGCGCGTCCTCTCTGTACGGATCAGTGATCTCAGCGCCTTCTCAATAATTCAGCCCGTGTGCTCTCAGGCTGTGTCATCTTGGGAAGGGAGCCCAATGCAGCATCCAAGAGCTGCGCATCCCATGGGAAGGGGGAGGAGGCACACGTTATATTCCAGGCTTTCCCCCCTCGGCTGTCGTCTTTGGCGGAAGCTTCATTTTCAGCCGTGTTTGCGTGGGGAAGGTCCAGTCCCTCAGACAAAGGTCAGACCTTCTCCAAAGGGAACTTTTCGTGAAAGCAGATTGCAGCAGCAAACTTTCCTGCAGGAAAAAAACCCGGCCTCTTTCCTCACTGAAATATTGAATGCACAGAAGCAAGAGGTTTTTGCCCTCTGTCATACGACGCAACTCACAGCTACGTCGCCTCCAAAATGAAGCCAAAAAAAAGAGGGTTGCTTTATTTTCCCCCCCAGGTTTTGATGCTGACGTTAAGCCACTCAGCCAGAAGAGAGGGGTTGTTCGTTAAAGCCGTCCCCTGATGAACAGCATCTCGCCACGGGCAGGACCCCCCACATTTACGCCGCTCCCAGTTCCGCGGGATGCTCCGCCGCCCCCCGGGGAGCCCCGTTAAGCCCCTCGCCCACCGCCCCCTCCCCTGCGCAGGGCAACCACCATCTTGTTCCGCGCAGCCCCGGCGCGCCCTTGCGCAACGGCGT